AAAGTATATCCACACACTAACTATTACTCCTTGATAGAACATTATACTGTACATTTTTTGTTTACAAATTTCAGGCTCAAGAAATGCAGAATCTCAACAGTGACAGCCATACATATGATATTCCAGACCGGGTGAGAATAATCTAAAACAAATGAACAGGCTATGATTTTATAAAATGCTTGTTGTATATACTGTTGTATAAACATGAATGTTTTATTAAATTGTTTAGTTTAGTACTTGTTCAGCTAACCATAATTGTTCAGGAATGCATTTTAAATATACTATTTTTATATTCCATTAGGTTCAAGCCCAGACACAAAAGGAAACTGGAGATAATCTACCCAACACAACCTACTGCAGAGTAGGACAACACCAAAAAATCGCCTCTGAAACAGACCATACAATTTATTCCGAGGTGTACAAACAAAAAACCACCCGCTGATGACGCTTAAAATAAAACTGTGGCTAATTGTCACATGGGGAAGCTGTCACAAGGCTTGATCTCAAAATGGCATCCCACTCTTACTATCTCAGCCTTATCTTTATATGGTAGAAATAATGAGAACAGTATACTAGTATGCTATTCTGAAATTAAGCCAAAGCTGTCCAATTAAGGTATGCTTTCTCTAGCAGCGGTTGAGTATATTGGATTCAAGCATCCAGATCCAAATGGTCTTACTTTTTTCTTTTCTTTTTTTTAATGAATGTGAATTATACCCTAAATTTGATTTTCCACACATAACCTTATAATTTTCAAAAATAATCCAACAGTGAATTAACTGGAGTTTACTGTGACAACTAACCCCACATGGGAATTCAGTATAGTTTAAATAGTTGGTGGATATATTTACCTCACTTCCCATGATCTCATGTTATATTTAACATTTCAATTCAAGTGGTATGAAGCCAGACCATCTAATGAAGCACAAAGGCAAAAATTATTATACCTACAGTTTAAAAGCCAAATCACAAGTCTTTTTCGTGCATTTTGACCACTAGGTGGTTGTATCTAATTTATTTATTACTTTATATCTTACTTAAATTGTACTTTTGTTGATTCTTGGATTAGTCTTGGAGATATAATTTCCTGAGATAACCCTTTAAACAAACTCTTGCCCTCAACAATATGCTCAGCATTCTGTGGTGAAGATTATTGAGATGGGACCCAAATTGTACTATTTTCCTGATGAACATGACTGTAGATCCATCAAAATGCAAGTGTGCAACTCTAAATGAACCAGGTTTTTCATGACTGACCAAGAATAAATACAAAAGTAGAATTTACATATGATAACAAATAATGAACAAATTAGCCTACACAGGTGTAATATGAGATAAAACAAACAACAGTAGTCCATGTACAGTATAAAAGCACACACAAACAAAACATGCCAAAAACAAAAAGTAGAAGCTATTATGTCAGGAGTAGGTTCATTGCTGATTTCAGATATATACCCAGGTCTAAACGTCATATAAAAGTGTGTTCAGGTGACCTTACCTTCTGAAGCGATGTCGTTCTTTTGAGTGGGAGCTTTTCTATTATTGGAATTAACTATTCGGAAGGATTTTTTCCCCCCATAAATGGCAGCAATAGTCGATGAGAGTGAAATGATAGTATTGGGACTGAAGCGAAAGTTTGGTTGATAAGTCACTTTAATAGCCGAATAGAAGAAATGTTACAAATAATTGCACTTGAAATGTTGGCTATTTATGACTTGATTGTTTGACACTGATCAACATAAAATATGGTTGTTTTTAATATAATTTTATTATGAACATTTTATATTTTAATTAAGCCACACACAATTTTTAAATAAACAGCAGTAGTCTATCCGCTTAAATATGGCTTCAATGCATGTTTTTATGTAATTCGCCTTATTTTGCAGTAAGTAGGCCTAAACTATTTTCAGCTATTGTTCGAGAATAGGAAAGTGAAGTAAACGGTAAAACTATGTGCACTATAAACCAGTGTTTATAATTATGACAATATTCAATTTGCAATATCAAGTAGCATGATGAGCTGTTTTGTAGATAAAAAGAACTAGAAGCGAATGACACCGGAAGCCTCGCACATATAAGGTGGCTGCGCCCAATCTTACGTCAAAAAACAAAATAATAATTAAAAAAATAGTGTCATATATGCTACACTGGAATCTCAGGGACCACGTAATGGATTTACATGATGACAAGGTGAATTGTTCGTGTTTGCGGAAATGAGTAGTTGTACTTCCCATACCTCCATGGGTGCTTCGGTAGCCTGCAGATTATTGAAATAATAAAGCGGACTTAGGTGAGAACAGGGGTGTATTCCAGAAAGCAAGGTTAACTTATCATCACATATACCCTGAGCTCTCGGTTGGTTAACCCAAACCTGGCTTATTTGAGGTATGCTGGTTCCATAAACTCGTCCGGGAGTAAGTTCAGTCAACTCAGAATATGTTCACGGTTAACACACAAGATATTCTCAACAGAGCGACAAATTGACGAGTCACCATGGAAACCATGCTGCTTCTTTCTTATTCTTTTGTTCAATGGTCATTTACATACTTAATGCATATAATAGTCTAATTGATGGTTGTGCAATCATTTTTTTTTCTCGTTTAATCTTTTAATCACTGAGAATAAGAATTATAATATTTGTTTGACGCTAATTATATAATAAGAAATATTACATATGTATTTTTATTATAGAAATATATTATAGAAAAAGCAGATCCACGATGTGTGAGATGACAATAAAATATAATAAATATATTAGAATAAAATAAACGTTCCATTGTTATAATAGATTTATATTTAATATATATCGCTATTAAATATGACAATAAATATAATAACCTATTAGAATAATATAATATTACCTTATATATAGTTAACATATCATACAACTATATATATATATATATTTGATAACTATATTGTAATCATATATAATATTATAAGGTCACGCATGTGCTGATAGTGCTGAAGTAAACTAACCCTGAACATAACCTGCTCCGGAGCAGGTTATGTTCAGGGAATATAAGTTGCTATGGCTACTTAGAGTTACCCGCTTTTTACCCGAGTTTATCCGCTTAACGTTACTTACCCTTAAACATACCCGGCTATGTCACATAACCTGCTTTCTGGAATACCCCCAGTTGATCTCTTTTTTTTTTTAACAAATCATCACAGCTAGCCTACTATAGTAATAAAATAAAGTATGTATGTCATCTATAGCACTTTTTAAAACAAGAGTTTCTTACGTGCTATTGCAGAGAACATATGATATAGCTTTACACAGCATGCTTGTAATAAGACACAAGTGAATAAAAATAAAGTCTAATCGGTTGATATTCAATTTATAGCTTAAGTGTGCAGTAAGCGATTTCTGAGAAACCCAGACATTAAACACACCCCTACCCAAAAGAAACACCCCCTCCCTTCATTGCTCGGGAAAGTGTGGCTGTGTCTTTATCATAGCTGCCAAGCAAAATAATAATGCAAATGCACAAACAAGCAAGAGTTTGATGTTAGTCGCCAGCGCACCCGCAGACAAACAATAACACTCAAAACTGTTCTGACACTTCAGCTAATATTACAACAGCAGCAGCATATCGTGGTTCTTCTGTGTAACACAGCAAAACCAATGTTACTCACGTGTCGAGCAGAACCAAAGCAACTCGACGTCTGTTTTTAAGGCCTTCCTTAAAACGTCGCTCCAGCACTGGAAAGCTTTTCCAGTATTAACGCAGGTCCTACTCCTAGCTCTTGTCTGATCGTAACCCTTCTTTTTCCAGTGACAGTCCTCTCTGACCTTTTCCTCTTTAGTAATGCCATCTTTCTTTCTCTACAGGCTTTTTACAAATCTCCCGCTCGCTCACTCTATTGCTGATTGGCCACAAGACAAGTGTGTTGTGGTGCTCAGTATGATCGGTCCGATCCACTTTGTTTTCCTCCTATTTATACAGCCAGGACTATGTACAAACACGATATTTTTCCAGCATACACACAGAACAGAAAGCAAGCAAATATTCACAAAACTGTTTGTCTGGGTGTTGGTTACAATTTTCAACAGTGTTTCTCAGAAATCGCTTTACAGTAGTTCAGTAGCCAAACCACAAGCGTCTTTAGTGCATTTTAACTGATAACCACTAGATGGCGACATTTTAACCTATTTTTATGCAATATATATGTTTCTCATTCAGTTAAAGTTATTCATTTTTAATCTTATTCAAATAGCACTTTTGTTGATTCTTGGCTTAGACTCCTGGCTTAGTCAGGAGATATCTTTACCTGAGATAACCTTTTAAACAAAGTCTGGCTCTGAACACTGGATATGCTCAACATTCTCAGGTGAAGTTTAAATATAATTGAGATGGGACCAAATTGTAGGCTACTATTTCCCTAAAGAACATAGATCTGTCACAATGCATGTGCAGTGTGAAGGCATCTAAATGAACCAGTTTTTTTCAAGACCTGCCAAGAATAAACAACAGTGAAATTTAAATATGAAAACAAATAATGAACAAATTACACACAGGGTTAAACATCGAGACAAAACAACAGTATTAGACTGCACATCCACATTCCAAGTACAGTAAATTCCCTGTTGAAAAAAAAACAGGGAATTTATAATATATAAATTAATTGATAATGGCTCTTCCCTGTTGAAAAAAAAACAGCATATGCTGGTTAGGTATGTTTTGAAGCATGGCTGCTGGTTTGAGCTGGTTTAAGCTGGTCATGTGTTGGTCCTAAGCTGGTTCTGGGCAGGAGCTAGTTGCTTAGGACCAGCTCATGACCAGCTAAGGACCAGCTTAAACCAGCTCAAACCAGCAGCCATGCTTCAAAACATACCTAACCAGCATATGCTGTTTTTTTTTCAACAGGGTAGAGCCATTATCGAGCCAACAGCACATGGACTCTTTGAAACATTTCCGTTTTATAGCTGATGAAATGATAGTGAAGCGAGAGTTTGTTTGATAAGTCACTTTAATAGCCGAATAGCAGAAATATTACAAATAAAATGCACCGGAACTTGATTCTTTGACAGTTATCAACATAAACTAAATATTGTTGATTTTTGAATAGAATTTTATTGTGAAATGTTCATATTTTATTTAAGTTATTCACACAGTTTTTAGTTTACAACGTATTTACTTAAATATGGCTTTTGTTAATGCTTTGAAGTAGCCTATGTAATCCACCTTATTTTGCAAGTGAACTTTCTTTGAATGTGCAAGACTTCCGGCTCAAGTGTTGTAAACTGCTAACATTTTGCAATACAATCCAATGTGTTTGTGACTATACATTAAAATAATATGAGGAAAAAATACCAGTTGGCAATATCAAACAGCTTCATGGGCTGTAGCCGATGACACCGGAAGCCTTGCACATTAATTATGTAACGAAAAACTGAATCTTTTTTAACTGGTTCTTCGAAACGAACTGTTCATGTCATGAAAAGGAATAGTTGTACTTTCCATGGGTGATTTTTAGAAGTCTACTTGTTTATTGGAATAATAAACTCTGACTTAGGAGAGAACCATTGATCCCTTTTTTTATTTAACAAAATTGTCACAGATAGCCTAAAATAAAAATGTGTCATGTATAGTCTATAGCACGTTTTAAAACCAGTATTTATAAAATACTTTGCAGAGAACATAAGCTACACACTGTATGTTTGCAACAAGACACAAGCGATTAAAAATAATGTTTAATCCGTTTATATTCAATTATTATTATGACCTTTTTTATATAACTGTTAAAATAATGTATTTTCTGTATTAGCTACTGCACATTCAAAACATGTAGACTTAAAATTGCAACATGGTAACAATTTTTTTTATTTATTATTATTCATTTTAAATGTGTGTTTGTATATATGTTTTTGGCTTTTTCATGAATTCAAAAGACTAGTTCTGTGTCATATGTGGGTTTCATCTGCTGTCTTTATTAATAAAACTGTGCAATTAAATTAAAATCTTCTCAGATTAATTTTAAATGTGATTTATGCCACTGGAAACCATGACTTAATGTGCAAACCAGGTCCAACAAATCTGGAACCAGTCATGAGTCAGAGGATCTATAGCTATACAATTTAACTGCTTATAAGTAATGTGAAAATATTTAGGTCTGATATCATTGTTGTGAATGAACACTGAAGCTGCTCACTGTTATGTAGTGTTTTCATTATAAGCATATTCATAAACTGTGCTGAATAAGTTATGATTTTGAAGCTGTGTACATGTTGTGTGCATTTGGGGTCCTTAACCAGTGGAGGGTGATTTGAGACATGACTGTACAAGCAGGATGTGGGTAATATGGTGTTAAAGAAGTGAGACGGGGTGAACAGTGAAGTGGAACACTACGTATAGACCCTGTGGAACAAAAACATGTTAATTTACCCAGTACAATGTTACAGTAATTTCATTTTTGTTTGACTCTGTTATGTAGTTCTCCAGTCTTTAGGATGGAATTTTACATGAGCTCAGAGGACAAGTTTTAGCCAAAAGTCAGGTATATTTACGCTTTGCCTACAGCCTCTTATGCTCATGATTAGTCACTGGCCTAGTGAAGCGGAAGTGAGTGTCTGACTAGCTGTGCTAAGAAGTCACAGTCCTTCTCACATGTTAAACTTCCTTCACTGAAAAACCCACAGAGAAGCGGACATTTTTGTTTGCTATGATGGCGTTTAGGCTGCTCCTGTCCTGTGTTCTTCTTACGTCAGGTACAAAATCCAATCAATATACTATTCTAAATAAGTCTTTGATTCATGATTTCCTCTGGTGACAAATCACTAATCTGAAGGGCATTTTTAAAATTCTGTACCAGTCTTTTTATGACATATTAATCAAGTCTTTTTGGAATTGTTTTGGTTTCACTTCAAAAATGTTTCACTGAAATGTTGCCAGGATTTTACGAGATTTAACTGATTTGTTAGTACATACTGTATTCATAAATATGATCACACCAGATCTCACTGAATTGTTTGATTCTACAATGATGGAATTAACATTAGCCCTTGTAATTGTGTAATCTGATGTCACCATTATTATTGTGGTTAGTGTTACCGTTGGTTGAGAATTTGGACTTTTTTGGTCTTGATCTTGGCTGTGTTCTTGTGTTCTTTACTGAGAGAAACAACTTGAGAGAAACAGCTTGTGTCAACTATATGATTACTGTCCATGAAAACAGCAAGCAAACAGCTACTCTTTGTATTTTAATAAAAGGCTTATTTTCTCTCTCCTCAGGGTTCAGTGCTGAGATCTCTGTGTTTGTTCAGACAGGAGCTTCTGTTCAACTGGATATACAGACACAAGAACTACCAGAGTTTGATGATTTATCCTGGAAAAAAAATATTTCAGAGAATATAGTTAAATATACAAGTGAATCTAAAAAAGAAAAACGTTACTCTTCCTACAAGGACAGAATGGATTTCAATAATAGAACCTTCTCTCTGACACTGAAGAACATGCAGAAGACAGACAGTGGAATCTACAGAGCAATAGCAGCTGCAGAATCAGACAACAATATTGTTACATACAGAGTATCTGTTATAGGTGAGCGTGATGTGAAGTGCTTAGTCAGTGATGTAACTGCATATAATGTTAATTATATTCAGTTTACATTTGAAATCTGTATCTTTTATCTGAAAACCTTTATTTGAAAACAATATAAACGGGTGCACATACGTTTTTAGGTCTGGTTCTCATGAGAGCACCTGGAGATTTGGTTTGGCAGGGGAGAGTGGGGACGGTTGCAACAAGGGGCAGTTGCAACATGGCTTATTTCTTCAATCAGGAAAGAGCAGTGATGATATTCATACTGCACATGCTTAGCCCCTCATCCTTCCTGGAAGAAATCAGCCACATCATGTGGCCCACATGTGACCATTCCTTCTACAAAAAATTTTAATGATCAGATTTTTTGTCATACTAAGTTGTTTGCGTGAAGCATAGTAAAAACATATCATTTTAATCTGTGTTTTCTTAGCTTCTAATAGCTAGCATGTGTCAAAGGTATTGTGTCAAGCTAATATACCAAGTTTTATCACGGCTGTCACGTTGCAACTGTTTAAAAACTGTTATATTTAAAAAGTTTACAACTCGCCATACTCTGACTCGATTACTATTCCTGAGGTAAAACACACCCTCCTCATTACCCCATGGATAAAGAAATGTAGAAATAAATAAATGGGGAAATAAATAAATATAAAAATAAATACGTAAAGAAATACAGTACATAAATGTGGAAACAAATAAATGTAGATTAGGCAGATATATAAATTATAAATAAAAGAAAATAAATATAATATTAGATATATAAATAAAAGAAAAAATAAATAAAGAAATAAATGTGGAAGAAATAAATATATACATAAATAAGGAAATAAAAGTATAAATAATTATTTATTTTTTACTTTTCTTTGTATATTTATTTATATATTTATTTAATTAATTTTGCATTTTACATTTCTTTGTATATTTATGAATTTATTTATTTCTAATTTTGTCAGGTTTGGCATTCCATAGTGTACCACTTATGTGCACCCCTGAATATAAATTTGTAAAGCACAACAAAATGCTGTTACCTAAGGATTTTTACAAACTTTTTGTTTGTTGATTTTTTATAATGACTTCAAATCCTGATGCACATATTTTAATATATAACAAAATTACTAATGTTCATTTCAGGAAGTCTGAACAAAATAGTATGAATAAATTATGTTTGGTCCTGGTTTACTGAAGTTTTAAACTGACAAATTCTAGCATGTCTGAAATTGTGAATGTGGCCTTGTGTGTGTGTGTGTGTGTGTGTGTGTGTGTGTTTCAGATGCAGTGGAAGCTCCGGTCCTGACTGTAAACTCAAACTCATCCAGTCCTGACCCCTGTAACTCTACATGTAATGGAAGTAGTAACATTATCATCAGCTTCATCTATGATAGTAGCAGCTGTTCTCCAGAAGAAGTGATATCATCTGATAACTACATTCTAAGACTGAGCTGCATTGGTGACTCCATCATGTGTAACTACAGCAACCAAGTGAGCTGGAAAACTGACACAAAGAAGGTTAATGAACTCTGCACTGCTAAAACAGGTACATATTGTATCCACTCTGACCTGTAAATACACTTACAGATTAAGAAACAGAAAATCGATGAGAATGATTTTAAAATACTTAAATACTGTATGATGTGCCACTCTTCATTTTAAATGCCAAACACTGTACTGAAATTCCTGTTAATATAAACCTCTGACTGTGAAAAGTGGAGATATTTGTTCTTATCTTTCATGCCTATAAACAGAAAAACATGAAGAAGCACCTGCGTTTCCCCCTTGGGTCATTTTTATTTGTCTAATCACATTGGCATTGGCAGTGATCGGCTTCTGTATTTACAAGAGGAAAAAAGGTACAGAGCATCCTACAACTATCTTGTTTCAATAACACTTATAGCAGTCTTTCATATTGATTGCTAGTGAACCATCCAAGAGTAGGCTATTTCTCTATCTGAAATGAAAAGACATGCATCAAATGTCTCACAAATTTATGGATCAAATATTAGTCTGATATTTGTGCTGTGCTTATGAACTCATGTCACATCCATTAAAAACATTTTGTCAGTGAGAAAACCCAACAGTCAAACAGTCTTTACACAAAGTTTGACATTCCAATGTAATTCTACAGAGATTTTTCCAAGAGCATATGACTGCAGTTTAAAATAACCTCACTTCCCAAGTTTATTTTTACAGATAGATCAGTTTTTAAAGTCCTTTCAATGTAAACAATGTGTTTTTGTAAACACGGTTTTTTGTTTGTTTGTTTTTTCAGTTTTTCACCATTGTATTTGCATGTTTGCTGTCACTATTTAATTTTAAATGGTCCTGTAGTGTGGCATTGCATAATTAATTTTTAGAAATAAAAATATTCCATGTAATCTCCCAATTAACATGATATCACAAAAACTACATGCACAGTAGTTATAGCACAATGCTGTTTAAAACCGATTGAGGTGAAGTCGAACATTCCACAACACAAGACCTGCCAACTTCCTATTCATTTTCATTTTAACTACCTACAAATTTGACACTTCTGCTTTTAAACTGTATGACACACTTTTTTTCTAAGCTTCCATTAGAAGTGTTAACAAATTATTGCCACAGATGCTGATCAATTCTTAAAAGTGTTGTAGAGCAAAAAGTTATATCTGTTCTATGCCTATACACTGAAAATTGTTGTCTTGAATATTGATGTTCTGTTTTAAACATCATAGGCACCCAGAAGAATGAACAAACAATCTACGCAGAAGTTGACGTAAGTGTTATACTACTATTCTTCATTAACCACAGACTATCTGTTATCTTTTAAAACAAGTATGCAACATGTTTTGTATCTCAGTTTTTGATAATAAAATCCTTCACTCCCATAAAAAAAGTAGAAGCTGTCACTGGGGCGGTAGCCTTTCAAAAGATACTATATTTACTATTTAGGTACTAATAAGTACCTTTAAGGATATAGTCAAGTCAAGTCACCTTTATTTATATAGCGCTTTATACAATAAAGATTTTGTCAAAGCAGCTTTACAGTGTTAAAAAGGAAAAATGTGTACTGATAATGCAAGAACACCATGCAGTTTATCAGTTAAAGTCAGTTCATTGTTGATTCAGTGATTTCATCGTCCAGCTCAGTTCAGCTCTCTTCCAATAGTGTCTGTGCAGTCAAGTCAACTATGTTGCCAGAAATTGTGTCCCCAACTAAGTAAGCCAAAGACGGCAGTGGCAAGGAACCAAAACTCCATCAGTGACAGAAATGGAGAAAAAAACCTTGAGACAAACCAGGCTCAGTCAGGGGTCAGTTCTCCTCTGGCCAGATGAAACCAGCATGATGTGGTTTTATATGCATCCTTTAGGGGTAAATAAGGTACAAAGGTGTTCCCAGTGACTGCTTTGTACCTTTTTTCTGAAAGTGTAGAGTCTGAGAGTGTAAACTATTAGTGTCTGCGTTAATTTATTAATTCATTGTTATTTCTGCATGGTTATTTACTGTCACATGACCACAGGTGATCATTTCCATCAGCGATTGTCTTACTATAGGGAGATGAGAGGGTCTGTATTACTTACTATTGGAGAAAGTGTAATGGTCAACTTGGATCACGTGTGCCTTAATAACAATCACATTACAGCCTTGACGTCATTGAATTTCAAGTCAGAGTTGTGCGACACTCAATCGCTGTTTACGGATACCATAGGAATGAATGAGAAGTGCCGTAAGCTGTATCCCACCTGTTGCAAAAAGTCAGTGACTTCTCTTGTAGAACGGCATTTTTTTTTGGTGTAAACTCTTAAAATAGTTAAATCCAAAAGCATTGCTTAGTGTAAAACATGTTGGAGATTAGCCGATAGGCTGTCGATTCATTAAATGATGAGCCGTTTCCCCTAAAAAGCTGTTTATTCAGCGTAGTGAAGCCTCTCCTCCATTGACATCCATTAAAAAAAACGGCTTCTCTCCATTCCCACGCACTGGCAAACCGGAAACGTTAGCATTAGCCGTTATGCTTTTTCGGCTAAAGGTTGCAGGCTTGCCTTCTAGTGGCTTTGATTTCCATTCCCTTTATTTCCTATGGTGGGTTATTTGGTATGAAGGAAAGGAGTAGCGGAAGTCAACTTTCTGTATTGCATTGGTTTGAATGCTGTATGTGTTCAGTGCCTCATTTGCCTTATCAAGTAAACTGAAAGCAAGCTAAAAATTATCAGTCTTCTATTTAGTGAAAATGAAGACCAATTGCTATACTTAGCCTCTATGTGGTGGTTGTTGGATGAGTGGAGTACTCACCACTCATTTCAGCCAAACCAGCAGTCTGACATCTTGATTGGATTGTGTCCACAGGAGAACATCAAGCCACAAAAGTCACTGGAGATGTTGGAGAAATCAGATAATCCTCAGACAGTGTATGATACTGCAAGAGATTCAGGACAAACTGATGTTACCAACCACACCACACCCAACGACGACCCTATGAATCAGGTGAAGATTAAACAATCATTCTAATCGCACTCAGTTACAATTCATTTAAAATTAACTGATGGTTAATTTGGATTAAATGTCTTAATTTGGAATAAAGGTGAAGACAAGCTTAAGTGAACAACATTCAAATGATAAAGTTATTATATTTGTGGCTTAATGTTTGGGAAACAACCTGCCAGTTTGCAACCTGCAGTTGTTTAAAGGGGTCATATGATGCTGCTAAAAAGAACATTATATTGTGTATTTGGTGTAATGAAATGTGTTTATGCGGTTTAAAGTTCAAAAAACACATTATTTTCCACATACTGTACATTATTGTTTCTACTCTATGCCCCGCCTTCTGAAACGCGTCGATTTTTACAAACCTCATTGGTCTGAAAAGCGAGGTATGCTCTGATTGGCCAGCTATCCAGAGCGTTGTGATTGGCCGAATACCTCAAGCATGAGACGGAAATGTTACGCCCCTCACATACTGTTGATGCCGTGTCCGGCCGGAGCAACGACACAAAAACATGAAAACCCATTACAAACGAGGCATTTGTTGCATCCAGTGGGGACATAATTACTGATTATAATGACTTATACTGTCTTTTTACGCATTGCGTTGCATCGCGCCGCGTAAACATAAAACCATGTCTGCATTTGTGATCAGAGAAATGACAAACAACAAGTGCTAACGTTAATCCACACTGCCCAAAACTCACGTTTGAATCATCAGTGGAAAATTCTTTAAATATTTTAGGTAGGCGTGGTTAACTCTTAACTTTTATAAAGAATATCTCTTTGGTTTTGAGACTTTAGTGTTTGCAACTTTACAGATCTTCTTTATGCACCAAGAGCTTGTAACACTCCAAAGAGAAAGGAAAAATTGAAATCGCATCATATGACCCCTTTAAATGATTTGTTGGGGAAAATGTTTTAAATGAACTGCAGTTGATTTTGTTGTTCTTTATTTCAGAGGTCATCACTCACAGAGAAGAGCAAGCCAGATGCACCAGTCACTATCTACTGTGCTATTCAGCAGCAACCAAACCCCCCCAAAACTGAAACTGATCACACCATTTATGCTGCGGTCAATAAACCATCAGCCGGATATGAATCTGCACATCCACAATCAGAATAAAAGTGAACTTTTAACGAAGCTGAACCCTTAATACAGGACATCATGTGTTCAGGAAGGCATTGTTATTCTCAGTGTAAATAAGCAGCATATTTGTGATATGTAATGTGCTGTTGATTTGTAGTTGATTTAGGGTGTTTAAAATATTTGTATATGCAAATTTTGTCTTTTTTAAAGCAGCAGTGAATGTATTTTTTATTGTAAAATTGTTGTACATGTGGCTCAAACAGAAATGCGAAATCTCATGTGGTTTCTGTAGATTTCTGTTGGAGATTCCTCATCGCCTTTGCAGGCAACACCTGAAAACCACTTCCTGGAAAGTATTTTGAAGGGTCGCAGCGGGTGTTCATTTGCCCATTCGCCCCCATCCCTCTGAAAAACACAGAGTTTAGTATACAGAAAGTAATGAGTATGTAGTCAAAAATGTACTGTACAAAACCACTTTGCACTAAAGAAAGTAAAAATTATTGGACTCAAGTGCATGGATGTCAGTAACTGAACAGGCATCTGTGTACTGTATCCAGTGTAGACAGCTTCAGTGATTATAATGGGTTCTGTTTGCTTTTGATGTGACACTCACGTCTGGTGTAAACAGGCCATTAAGGGCTGGTCACACTACTTTGTGTTATATTTACTTCCATTCATACGGATTTGAATTCAGGAGACAGGAAACACAATCTCATGTCAAATTTGATGTGTTCCAAAGTTAAAATCTGGTGAACTCTGCCCTGCAAATTCATATCACGTGAAGATGTGCCTAGTCAAGTCTAGTGTGACTGCAGCTTTAAGCAACTAAACGCCAGAGGACGGGGCCTATGGTGCAATGATGTATAACTATTCTTCAATATCTTGCTCTGGAGGCAGTCATAGAAGCCTTTTCTTGTTAAATAAATGCTTTTTTGAAGAGGTGGACTTTTGGAAGAGGAAGCCATGAAACTTGGAGGATGTTTTAATGGTATCTCTTATATGTGAAAAGATAAAAAAGTGATTTTTCATGTCATGACCCCTTTACTTGTGTTGTGCTGTTTCTCACTTTGCTTTATATTTTTGTCTTCAATAATTCATTTATTGAATAGCTCTCTTTGTTCCATGTCTTATGGTTTTAGCCTGTCCTCATGTTTTGAACTTAAGTCAATAAACTATTCTTGCAGCTTTTACCATTTTTATTATTATTTACTCATTTGTGCAGCTAGATGTAATGCAGCATTAATGTATGTCTTATCAAGTGTCTACTACAAAAAAAAGAGTGCTGTATGCATTGCACATTTTTGTGCTCTTTTGATGAATAATTTCTATTGCACAAATGTATATGAACCATTACAACCCACCTATTTACAAACCCTCAGTTGTGTTGGCCTGTACAGTAAGAGTAGGAATGACTTGCATTGGTCAGGTGTTAAGATAAAGAGATGTAGCACTGGAGCTTCTGGTATAACTTATGTTGAAGGACTAAGTGTCAGACTAATATTCAGCTGTGTCCCAAATTCAGGACTTTAAGACCAGAACCAATCCTATGTCTGGTCTTAAAGCAATGTAGTTCCCTTTCGATACTACACTCGTACTGCGTCTTGCTAGACACATATGGGAAAAATACTTTTTTTCTCCTGAACTGAAGCCTTTTTTTCATTCACACAGTGAAACTGCACGGCCATTGGTTCGTGCAGTGTATTAAAAACGAACCAATGGCTAAGCAGCAGAGCTGCACGAGCCTATGGCGACGAAGCCCGCCAAAGCCTGCCAAAGCCCGCCAGAATGGGCGGGGCATCTGGCTATATAAGTGGGCGTTCGCCACAGGATTCTCAGATTTCTTCTCTATCAGCGACGACTCTACGCTCATCGCTGATCCTGAAAGCTGGATTGAGACCTCCCTGCTCGGCTGACCGGCTCTCTTCACGCCTCAGCATCGCAGCAGTTCCGGTCCTGTTCCCCTGCCGCCATCCGGCAATTCTGAAAGAGCTTATTTCTAGCAGGTAAGCCCTAAAAGAGCAAATTCTAGCAACGTTGTTGCAAATGTCGCGCTGCGAGTGTGGCTCGTGCAGGGAATCTTGCACGATGCAGAAGGGCAGTGAGTGCGTCACCTGTCTGGGCAGCCCCCACGCAGAGACTGCTCGCTCATTGAGACGGAATGCTCTTGTTGAAAGCATGAGTCTCGCCCTCCTCCACTCGCGGACCGCCTTCACTGAAGGCAGCCCCGCTCTCCCGTTTCTCCTCACTCAGCGAGCCTCGGAGAG